GTATGTATGTATGTATGTATGTATGTGTGTATGTATGTATGTATGTATGTATGTATGTATGTATGTATGTATGTATGTATGTATGTATGTATGTATGTATGTATGTATGCAATAAATTACTTTGGTTTAAGAGTTACTTGTCAAGAAAGAGGCAAGCATAATATATGAAGCAAATAAAACAGAAAACACCACAAGTTAGCGGTCTTTTCCAAAGATCATTTTAAGGAACATTATTATTCTTACTTTATATAAATAATTCAAAATTTGTTTGTTATGTTATGTTGATTTGTAATGTTATGTTGTTTGATGACGACACTCTTTTTTTTAAATCAAGCAGCAATACAAAAGTGCTTTATAAAATGTTTAGTGAAAAAAAGGATGATTTAAGTTTACAAAGAACTAAATTTATATAGAAAAAAGCAAAACAATCTTGTTTGTCAAACTTAATAAGGGCAATCGCATCTCTTTAATATTATTCAATAATATTAGGGGCAAAGGGGGCAAATTAATACGGACGCCAAGCTTGAAAGGGGTTCCGGACGAACCATTGGTTTTTTTTACAACAAATAGAAAATATTTTAATGACAGATAATGTGAAATCTGCTTAGTTTTTTTATTTAAGGTTAAAACTTTAGTAATGGGAATAAAAATGCACGCAAAAAAAAAAAAAAAAATTTAAGTTTAATTATTATAATTAATTATAAATTATTTTTACCAAAAAATAACAATTCTTTAGTTGTAGTTGAATTAGATAGAACCAGGCGTATTCCGTGAGGCCATGGACAATTAGTCATGCTAGCTCGTACTCGATTACACAGAAGATGATGCGCTGAGGTAATTATAATCGTAGCTGATCAAAATTGTGATTTTTATTAGGTAGTGCGTTCAATGGTTGAGCGACGTGGTTATGAAGAAGTCGATTTCACAATAAAAGCGCTTTTTTTGCAAATAGTATTTGAGAGAATTATAGTATCGTATTTTTTAAGCAAATGAGGCGCCTTGCCTGAACCAGGACCCAGCCAGTTATCAAGTATTTGAGTTTTTGAGCATTTGAGCGAAAGGATTATATATTTTTTAGACATTGGTAGCGCGCTTGCCTCAGAAGCGTGAGATTGGTGGTTCAAAGCCATCTTTGGGCAAATTTTGCAAGATAGGTTAGAAATGAGGTGCTCTTTGATAAGTGGGCGTCCATAAATTACGTCACATTAACTTTGAGTGTTTTGGAATCCCTCTTCCCTCGTCACAGCATCTTAAATCATTAGTAACAAGTCCCGTATACGTCGTCCCAAATCACTAACTCCTCCTCCCCCGTAAGGACTTCTTAGGGCTTGAAAAAAATTATAACTTTGTTTTAATTTGTTATTTTTGCGGTTGCCAAATTAGGAAAAAAAACAAGCTACTATTTTGTTTACAACGGAGTGTCACTTTTGAATTGATGAAACGATCTATTGCGGACGATTTTTATGTAACTAATTTAGGTTCTTTTTTTCAATTATTCTATAAAAAAATTGTGATTTCCGAGTAAAACATCGAATCTGTATAAAGGCGGAAATATGAAATTGAAACCAAAATCGTGTATATTTATACATCATGTATACAAATATATTTGATACATGTTTAACAATATATATTTAGTGCTAATGAAAACGTTTTTTCTATTTTAAAATTACCTTTAAAAAAAAAAAAACGGAAGTCATAATAGTATTAAAATCTTCAATTAGATTTTCATACAATTGTATTTAAGTAAGATTCTTTCAGAATCTGTTTTAAATTTTTTTAGTGAGTAGTGTTCTTTATTGAACTTTTTAATGAAATTTTTCCATAAATAAGGTCTTCGATATTGAATACGATAAGAACTCATTTTTAAAGTAATTTTTGTAACGATAAAGTTATTCTCTGAAAACTTTGTTGGATACAAATGAGATATTTCACTAAATTAAGATTAAAATATAAATAAGATTTTTTTTATTTTTTTTATTTTTTTTTATTTTAATTCACCTCCTCAAGGCCGAGAAGCCACTACATACGAGGAGGCTACCTATTTGTGGCTATAACCCTCTCTCAACTCTATAACTCCGAAACACGAACCTTGACGAACAAGGCCGCTGCGCGGAGAAACGAGTCCATTTAATGGACTGTAGGTCAATGGCGGCCTCAAATTTACCTGAAGCTGAGCTTAATGAACTTCTAAGTGACTCATCAGAGTAGAAAGAGGAACTTTATCGCACAGGGGAGAATGCTCAACCTGACTTGGCAATAACTAATGCTGACCCCTTTTTGTAGCCAGTTATTTTGAGTAAAAAAGATCAAGATGTAATCATTTTAAAGGGACGCCCTTGAAACAACGAGATTATATCTATTTGTTTATTTATTTAAAACTTTATTTTCAGTTGATTGTTTACAATAGTTTTATAATCAACAAAAACTAATTAAAATCAACACATTAAACTATATAAGACAATACAAACAAACATACATATTGTGAATAAAAAATAAATAAAACAAAATAAAAATAGCTTACATAGTAAATAATATAAATGTCAATAAATACAACAAGTTTGCTATTTACAACGCAAACAAATTTAAAATACTTTTTTTTGAACATCTTTAGACAATTTATTGACATAGTTTCATTGTCTAGAGAGTTCCATAGCGAGGTTGCTCTATATAAGTTACTTTTTATGAACTTATGTTTAGAGATTTTTTATTAACTCATGTTTATGTTTAGAGACTATGGGTTGGAGTACTAATTTTTTACTACATCAAAGACTTAACGGCAGGGATTTTTTGATAAAAAGATCTATCATAAAATCTGGATTTAAACCATTTATAGATTTAAAAACTTCAGTTAACAAAGACCTTAAATTTCTAAGATGGATACTCGGGATATTTTCTATTTTTTGAATTTCTTCTAATGGGAGATAAAATCTTTTATAGACAATGCGAAGTCCTTTTTGATGAATTTTATTAATTAGGTTATTATTATATTTCGAACAAAACATCCAAATCAAAGGACAATAGGAAAAATTTGACAGTAAAAAAGCATTGAATAAAACAGTAGCTTTTTTTACTGAAAAGAAGCTCCTTATTCGTGAAAGAGCAAAGCTTTTACTTTTATTTGGGTCATTGCATCACTTGTCATTTATTTACGTCATTGCATCACCTGTAATTCTAAGAAGAGAACCTTTCCTTCGAATGAGTTTTATCAATCTTTGTCTAATAAGGAAAAAGTAAAAAGAGATTTTTCAGTTTGGAGCTCAACCATCAAGGCTCTCTACTGTTTCTCTTGCTCTCTCTTGTGTACGAAAGCAGTACTCAAAAGCAAGGAAACGTCTCTTCTTTGTCGGAACGAATGAACTAGAGATCAATGGAAGAAATTCGTGTGAAACAGCACCAATTTAGCCCATTGCACCAAAGTTCTACATTGGTTGGAAATAAGCAAACACTTGTCTTACCAGCTCCACTGGTTTAGATAATGAGCTCCAGAAGCGAATCAGTTCTGAAACAATTATATAGAGGACAACTCTTCGTGAAATTTTAAATGATACTCTTTTCTTGGCTTCTAGGAATTGAGCTTTTCTAGATAATTTATATTAAAGTTCTCTCAATATCAATTTTAATTATTTGTATAATTATTGTAATAATTTAATTGTAACTAGTATTATATACAATTATGTTTGCAGTCGAAACAACACACGTAAATTGGAAAGAAAATGAAAACTTTCTTGGCGGTATTTAAGTGACTATTACTTTTTACTTATACTTTTTACTTACTTACACTTTATTTACACTTTTTACGCACTTACTTTTTACTTCATAATTACTTATTACTTTCTTGGTGGTAGTTTTTGTGGCGGAGCTTATTGCTCGCCACAACCGCGTCATTGCATCCCACTTAGAGGATGTAAAATGCCATCAACAAGAGGACTCGATAACAAGTGCCCATTACCTTTCTCCGTTGTCTCAAATGAGTTCATCAGAGATTGTGGTGGTGCCATTTGAAGCGCAGTTGTTAATGAAATCCTGGATGGTATCTACTTTACCACAATAATCGGTGGTATCCCCGATAAATCTCACACTGAGCAGATAACCTTTGTTATTCATTTTCTTCTCTATGAAAGAGAAACTAATCCCTAGCAAATCAAAGAACAATTCTATTGTGTGTTGAAGCGTTCGAGAATAATAAAGGAGTCGATATAGTTAAGCTCATCACAAATGTGATTTTAAGGCTAGGTATGGAAATATTGAAAACTGCCGCGGTCAGGGACACGATAGTGGATATAATATATCAGGTGCGAACAAGAGAAGCTCAAGCCTTAAAAAGGCAAAATTGTGCGAAAGCTCTCAACGTTCCCTGTTGCGCTCGTAAGTGCAATATTTCTGTTGAAGATTAAGTTCTGATTGAAGATTAAGTTAAATTTTGTTGAAGATTCTGTTGAAGACTAAGTCTTTTTTGTTATGTAAAATCTCGTTTTAGTCGACTAATTCTAGTTAAATAAAAAAATTGTCGACTAATTTTAAACTAAACTATAACCTTCACCTTTAATTACATTATATAATTAATTATTTTCTCACTTTGAAAATTAACAGTTAAATGATACACTTTGCTATTTGCAAACAAAATTGTCAAAATCGACACCAATAAATTAAGTTATTTTAATTATCGGCATCCAAACCTTAAAATAAAATAACGTATGGGTGCAATACACAGAATTAAGTGCGTCTAACAATATTTGTTAAACCTAAAATGAGATTTTTTTGACCCATTACTAGATAGTTCATTGTAACATTAACGTGTTATTAAATTAAATACTATATAGTATATAAAATAAGTGTAATTAATAAAAGCTTCAAATTATTGAAGTCAAATAACAATAAAACCACAGTAAAAATAATTTACCTGAACGTGCGTAAAAACATCAAATATGTATTTAAAAAAACTTACATCAAAAAGGTCTATTTTTAAGACAAATTTTACTATAAAAAGTTTGTAATACAAGTCTTCTAAAAAGTGCTTTACCGAGTGTATACTTTACTTATGAATAAACGGTTAAAACACTTTCTTGGTTTCCACGAATTAACATCACCGTTTTTAGTCCAGTCGTTATTGTTTCTAACCAACTTATATAAAGATATGGTGAAACAATAGATCGTTTAGGGATAGGCAATGATATAACAACTAAACTTGACTCATTTGAATGCTCGCGTAGCAATTCACCTAGCCGAATCAGGCGCAACGTTTTCCTATCCAACACGCCTTCTGAATTTAAATGTTCCTTTTTTCGATAATTTTTAAATTCATTTATACTCTCCTTCTTCGGAAGCTCATTAATTCCTACAAACTCAATAACACTTGAGAACTCAATTCGAAATCTCTTTAGTAAATTTGCCATTTTAATTTGATTGGCTTCAACTTTTTCAGTTGAAGCGGGTGTAAAAACGCGAATCTCATAGCCTTTCCATCGATGACTTTGTGAAAGTATATGTGGCACCAAGATTGTTAAGCCTCCGTCATCATTTAACCACCATATGTCTATAAAACCTTTCGGTGGTGTATAGAAAATACTTTTGATTTTACTTTTTTTGTCATCACTTGCTATATGAAAAACAAAAACATCGAACTAAACAAACTATTTTTTAAGATACATCAAATTAATATTATTTTTATGCATTTTACAAAAATCATTTACATATTATAGCATAAAATTCACTCGCAAGAGTGCTCGATATTAGAGCTATATAATTGATTTTTTGACGAGATTAAATAAAAATAACTACATAATGTTTACTGCTAAAAGTTTCATGCGTTTTGCAATCATCAGGTAAAAAATACATTGTTTTTTTTCGTTGAAAAAAATTAAAGTCTTGATCATTAGTTAAACAAGTCCCCGCCTACAGCAACGTAACAAAAAAATGCTTGCTTTGCCTTCATGAAAAACTTTGTATAATATCATACAAAGCTACGCAAGAGTTATTAAATAAAAAAACAGAAATAATATCTAAGTGCCGTCACAAAAACAAGTTCTTGCTTGACAACCACGAGCCCAAAAATTAAAAAACCAAACCACGCTCGCAAATAGTAACATTTTTTATAATTGTTTTTGAAAACGCCACGATGTTTATTAAGAGTATTTTTTTTTTTTTTAACGAAAAAAAAAAACAATGTATTTTTTACCTGATTATTGCAAAACGCATGAAACTTTTAGTAGTAAACATTATGTAGTTATTTTTAATTAATCCTGTCAAAAAATCATATATATCAACCCTCGGAATTAGCAAAAATGGTAAAGGTTAAGGTCGGCAATAATTTGCCGACCTTAACCTTTAAGAGGTCGGCATCAGGTCGGAAAAAAAAATTTGACAGAAAGTTTCTACCATAAAACATAAAAACGAGGTTGGCAATTTTTTGCCGACCTCAAACACCTCTAAGTCGACAGTTAGGTCGGCATTGCCGAATTATATATATATATATAAATATATATATATATATATATATATATATATATATATATATATATATATATATATATATATATATATATATATATATATATATATATATATATATATATATATATATATATATAGTGGAAAATGTAAAATGTACCTTCTGCATTTTGATTATCTAAAGTGCTATATACAGGAGAAACTTCATTTTGTTGGCGTAATATGATGACACCATAGCTTAAAGTAAATGAATCGTCTATAATACCAAAGTACTCTTCGACTTCTTGATTGCTTGCTTCTTGCCATTTATTCATAAAGCCTAGAAATACTGTATTTGGCTTCAGCTTTCCGAGACCGACATTTTGAAGCAGATTTCTTACACCTCCACGTAAAGTCTCATCTATGTTCAAAAACATATTTCATTTAAAAAAATACTAAACAAGCGTTGATTTTATATAGTATAATTTTCAAAAAACTAAATAAAAAAAGTTTTTTGAAAATTATATAAAGATTTTTATTTTTATAGATCTAAAAATTAAATAAAAAAAGACCTTAAATTAAGTCAATTTGGCATCTAACTTCTTATTTTGTTTATAAACTATTTAAGAAATTCCAAAAACAGGGGATAAAAAGTAAGAACAAGCCAATAACAAGGAAAAAATATGCTTTACATTACACATCTCAAAAAACTTGTTAGGGTTTCAGACTGCTATATATTTTTTGTCTGCCATAAATTATTAATTGTTGAAACAATTTACCAATTAGAGTATATATATATATATATATATATATATATATATATATATATATATATATATATATATATATATATATATATATATATATATATATATATATATATATATATATATATATATATATATATATATATATATATATATATATATATATATATATATATATATATATATATATATATACTCTTGCATGGTAGTCAGAAAGTTTTTCCCATAAACTGTAGTTTTAAAAAGCGCATTAATAAACCAGACCAGAAAAAGTTTAAAAACTTAAATAATTTTTTTTTCTTAAATAATAGACTGCTTGCCCAAACCAAACACTCAGGTTTTGAGAGTTTGGTTTGAGTCAGACTATTTGTCAATCGATTTAGCAGCACTCCATTGCGAGTCAGGCTATAAGATAGTCAATGTAGCAACACTCCGTTGCAAATCAGGCTATAAGATAGTCGATTTAGCAACACTCCCTTGTAGCAGCAAGCTATAAGATAGTCGATGTAGTAACATGCCGCGCATGTTTTAAAAATATATTTTAATAAAACAACAATAAAAGCACCATTTGTTAAAAAAAATCTTCTATTCAGTATAATTGCAGTTCTTTTTAAAAACAAGAAAATTTAATGTACTTCCGCATTAATTTAATTGCTTTGACATTTTGAAAACAATAAAATATAGCTTAAGAGACGAGGTAAAAAATTGTAGCCGAAAGAGACTTTTTTTACAATAAAAGTCTCTTTTGACTACGATATAAGGATATAATGGTGATTTAAAAAATATCTTTTTAATGAGAAACAAAAATAAATTAGTAATAATAATAACAACAATAAAAATAAAATAACAATATAAAAAATAAGAAGAATAAGAATATTAACAATAATAAAAATAATGATAATAATCATAGTTTTTCCCATAAATTGTAGCTTTAAAGAGAGCGCTAATAAACAAGACCAGAAATAGTTTAAAAACTTGAATAATTTTTTATTACTATTATTAAATGATAGACTGCCTGCCCTAACCAAACCCTCAGTCGATGTAGCAGCACTCTGTTGCGAGTCAAGCTATTTGTCAGTTGATGTAGCAGTACTCCATTGCGATTCAGGCTGTAAGATAGTTGATGTAGCAACACTCCCTTGTGAGTCAGGCTATAAGATAGTCGATGTAACAACACTCCATTGCAAGTCAGGCTATAAGATCTAAGTTAAGGCTATAAGTCTTGCATGTAGCAACACTCCCTTGTAGCAGCAGGCTGTAAGATAGTCGATGTAGCAATACTCCGCGCATGTTTTAAAAATATATTTTGATAAAACAACAACAAAAGCACCATTAGTTAAAAAAAACTTCTAGTCATTATTATTGCGTTTTTTTTAAAAAACAATAAAATTTAATGTACTTCCGTATTAATTTAATTACTTTGACATTTCGACAACAATAAAATGTAGCTTAATTGTTGAAGTAGCAAAATTGTTGTCGAAAGAGAATTTTTTTTACATTAAAGGTCTCTTTTGACTACGAAATAAGGATATAATGGTGATTTAAAAAATATCTTTTTAATGAGAAACAAAAATAAATTAGAAATAATAATAACAACAATAAAAATAAAATAACAATAATAAAAATAATAAGAATATTAACAATAATAAAAATAATGATAATAATCATAACAACAATAATAATAACAACAACAACAACAATATAGAATATTTTTTATCACTTTTTTTGTTGCAGCAGTTTAGTAATTGTGAATGTCTAACTACTTTAATTTTTGGCTAGTGCAAGTAGTTTATTAAAATAGCTGTTTATTATAATGAGCCGTTTGTCTGGGAAAAATTTATACAAATATTATTTTAATACTTTTGTCAATCTAAAAAAAGAAGACAATGTGTCTGACTTCCTTATTTTTGACTGGTATAAAAAGAGTATTTTTTTATTAGTCCATTATCAAAGCCATCTGGAAAAAGTTATTTTAAGGTTTGTTAAATTTTTAGTTTTTTTTTTTTTTTTTTCATTTAATGTTTTTGTTATTTTTATTATTTTGAAATATATATAATTAGCCTATAATTTATTTAAAAATTATAATAAATTATACCTAACTTATATAATACCAATACCTCTTTAATTCTTTTCTTTATTAATTTTCACCACTATTTTTTACTAATAAGAAGATTATAATAATAATAACAATAGTAACAATAATAATAATAAAAACAATAATAATAATATCAAATAACAATAATATAAAATAATAATAATATAAAATAATAATAATATAAAATAACAATAATATAAAATAATAATAACATAAAATAATAATAATATAAAATAATAATAATATAAAATAATAATAATAGTAATAAAAATGATAGTATTAAATAATCATGTAAAAGTAATACAAAAGTTATAACAAAATTTAAAATAGTAATAGTTTTATATAGGCTCTTCTTTTTTATATTAGAATAAAAAATTTTATTTTAAATAAATAACTTTTGATTTTAAATTCTTTTTAAAATGTTACTTATTATTAAATTTTATATTATTTTATATTTACAATTATTTTACATTTATAATAAAATATCAGTAAAACAGATTGTTTCATATATCATGTTATGGCAAAATTTATTATTGATAATGATTATCATCTATTTACATTCAATTTTTTTATGACTAAAAGAGATGTTTCAGTAGTCTGGGATTATTTTACTGTTGCTCATGGGTGGCCAGAAGTTGCTGAATGTAAATTGTGCAATATTGAAATTATAATAAGACGTGCAACTGGTGCTCCATCTAAAAAATTTTCAACAAAGTCATTATGGACTCAGTTGCAATCAAAGATGAGCACTCATCTGCAATTGAAATAAAAACATTAGAAACTGAAAAAAAAAAAAAAAAAAAAAAAAGAAAATTGAAAGAGAAGAAAAGGCTAAAGTTTATGTTTTAAACAAACATGTTTGCACCAAACAGTTAACTCTAAAAGATTCCATAGAAATGCATTCAAAATGGGCTTATGATAATCCTGATCAAATTAAAGGAGAATTATTGTTAGTCTATTGGCTTTGTGATGCTTTAAAACCATATAGTTGCAAATGATCATTTTTTAAAATTTATAAACTATATTTCAAAAAAATTTAAAGCGTCATCAGAAAAAAAAAAATTAGACAAAGCTGATTCCAAACATCAACAAAAGAGTTCAACATGCAGTCAAGTCAATTCTGAATGCCACATCATACACTAACACTACTAATATTTGGACTTCACCAAGTAATGACTTTTATGTCATTTACTGCTCATTGGATAACTGAGGACTTTAAAAAAAAAAAAATTGCTGTTCTAAGATGTATTCCATTTAAAATATCTCATACAGGGTGGAATATTTCAGAGGCTTTAAAAAACATCTGTAAAGTTTGGGGTTTAAGCAACATTCATATTGTTATTAGAGACAATGCAAATAATATAATTTTAGCAACAAAACTTGCTGGTTTTGAAAGCATTGGCTGCTTTTGCAATATCCTACACTTAGTGGTGCAAAACTCAATATACAAGCAGAGTGGCGTCAAAATAATGTTGACAAGGTAAATGTAATGTTTGAAATTAAAACTGTAATATGGCATAAGTAATATTGTAATATCATTATCTAACTTTAGGTTAAGGAAACTGGAGAAAAAGTTGCAAAAACCAAAGGCAAAAACAATATTCACCAAGTATCAAAGCCAAGCCTTAGTCTTATCTAATGTAATGATACTTGATTGTGAAACACAATGGGGCAGTACACTTTTAATGTTAAATCATGTAATGCAACAAAAACAGGCTATCAAATTTGCTGAAGACGACATTGAATGAGAAATTTGCTCCGAATAAAAGGTTAAATATAAAAAAATAAAATAATAAAAATTTTATAAGTTCATACTTTTACTTTTTTAAAACCTCATTCATTTAGTTGATGCCAAGCGACTGGGATCTTATTCCTAAGGTTGTATCAATGCATGGACCAATAGATAATGCCAGCAAAGTATCAGAGAGTGATACTGCACTAATTTTGGATATCATTCCTTTGACCAAAAAACTCAAGATAGAGCTTAATAATATAACTCAAATAGGAATTGGAGCCATGAAAGAAGTTTTACTTGAACAAATTGCGCAGTAAGTGTAGTACTTTTTTGTATAAATAAAATAATAAATATTAAATAAGTTATTAGATATAAAATTAAAAATACATAAAAAATATACATTAATATTTTTTTTATTACATTATTTTGAGTTGGTTGTTTGATTGCGCTATGATTTTTTTAAAGTTATCTAGAAGGAAAAGACGATTGTTCAAGTTGTCCAAATATTGAAGAAAATAATCTATTGGCAGTAGCTAATTACTTGATCCAAGGTACAAAACTGCAGGTTTTTAAAATAAATTTTATTCCAAAAGAGAAGTTGTTGTACCTCATGATAAATCAGCTTAATCTAAAGGTAAAACGGATACTCAAGCTGAATCAGCAAAATCAGCCATTAAACAGGTAATTATTTAAACTCAAAAAAAAATTTCCTAAACTATATTGATTAATTACAAAAATCAGTTTAATTTTAAATCCATATAAGTTTATGAAATTTGTGATCATTTTTTGTGATTAAAAAGTATTACATGAATCAATTTGAAACT